AGTATTTTAAACTGTATAAAAAAAATTGAAATCAATTGTGAAAATCCATTCCTTATATAGGACGTTCCCTCCTGTTCGCCAATGGACTAAATGGTCAGTGATTTAGTAATAGCAGGGAGGTCTTCATAAAATTTACTTAAACGGAAAAAAACACAATTTGACCCTTGCCTATTTTTCTATTTTAAAATTTTTTTTGCCTTACCAATAAATTATATGACATAAAAATTGTTTTACCTGATTTTGGATATGACTTATAATAATGATTTTCTGCTATACCCAAAATAGTCATACCACCTGTTAAGTCTTTACCCAAATTTTCATGTACCTTAGCGAAAAAAACCGGATGTTACCTCAATAATAATAATCAGGGGCCCTGTTATATTACTGTATTGTCACACGATTACTATATAAAGTATTGATAGATAAATAATGATAAATATTTTCATAAATATTAATTAATATTAATTTACAATTTCTTACGCATTCTCTTCTTCGAAGATACATTCCTTTTTCCTACGCTTTGTTATTCTAAAAACAAGACATTCCTTTCTTTTTTTTAACATTATTAATAAAATAAAAAAATAAATTAACATGCAATCTATAAAATGTGTTGTGGTTGGTGATGGGTAAGGTCAAACATTATTTCCGAGTTTTTATTAATTATTTACCAATTTAATTGATCATTTTTTATTTATTAACAGTGCTGTAGGTAAAACTTGTCTTTTGATCAGTTATACTACGAATGCATTTCCCGGAGAATACATTCCAACTGTGTAAGTGTCATAATAATTAATAATTAGTAATTGTGATTTTAGATTTTATTTATTTATTTAATTATATTTATGATAGATTTGACAATTATTCTGCAAATGTTATGGTTGATGGAAAACCAATTAGTCTCGGTCTTTGGGATACGGCAGGACAAGAAGATTATGATAGATTACGTCCGCTTTCGTATCCTCAAACTGATGTTTTTTTAATTTGTTTTTCTTTAGTTAGTCCTTCTTCTTATGAAAACGTTAAAAGCAAGGTAAAGTGAATGCAAATAGAAATAGAAAGAGAAATTTTCTATTAGCTCTATTTTTTCTGATTATTTATTTCTACAAAAAAACAATTAATTAATTATAATTAATTCATTCACACACACACACTCTATATATATATTCTCCTTCGATCGAAACAAAAGTGGTATCCTGAGATTATGCATCATACAACTAACACTCCACTTATTCTTGTTGGCACCAAGCTTGATCTTCGTGAAGATAAAGAAACAATTCAAAAATTAAAACAAAAGAGTCAAATTCCCATCACATATCCACAAGGTCTTCAAATGGCAAAAGATATCGGTGCTGTAAGATATCTTGAATGTTCTGCTTTGACTCAAAAAGGTTTGAAAAGTGTTTTTGACGAAGCAATTCGTGCCGTGCTTTGTCCTCCACCAATTCAAAAAAGAAGAAAAAATTGTGTGATTTCATGAAAATATAATTGTATATGATTGGGTAAATGTGTGGGATTGATTAATCGGTTAATTGACCAATTAACTGATTGATTATAATTTATAATAACTTTCTTTTATTTCAATTTACTTCTTCTGCCTCCACAATTCTCGTAAATGATGCTTTTGTATCTTGTAAAAATATATTTTTAATGGCTAAATCATTTGAAAATTGTTCTAAAACATGTAAACAAGACAGTATTCGATCATAAGAGTCTTCATCAATTGGATTTGTTACAAATTGAGATTGTCCAACACGAATAACACTAGCCATTATAAGCATCGCCTAAAGAAAATCATCCACAAATAAATAAATATGATTTCTTAAATGATACAATAGTTATTAATATTTACCTCGGCTCTCAAGGAATTTATTTTTTTTTGGTCATTTGAATTTTCAGAATATCGCATAACTAATTTTGTTAATGTTGAAGCTAATACAGATCCAAGGAAGAAATCACCTCCAAGTAATAATGCTAATAATCATAATCGTAATAGCAATTATATAAATATTTTTTTAATAATATTTAATAATATTTATTTATAAATGTTATTTACCTCTAATTGGAGGTTTTGTTGCTGATTTTAGTGCCTCAAGTCTTGCTAAATTTGACGAGTTTGATGAAAATATAGTTTCAGTAGCATAAGTCCCGTCAGCAAGAACGCGACGTGATGAATTATTGATAGTGGATGTTTTGCTTTCTGAAATATTAGCATCGTCCCCCTTTTCATCTTTTTCCACTTCTTCAAGTAAACGCTATTATCAAACTTTTTTAAATTATTATATAAATATTTATATAATTTTTCTAATCTATCAATTATTAAAAAATCATTTTACCTGTTCAGAAGCTAAAATTGGAATTTCTCCAAGTCCTCCTCTGATTTGTTTCCAAGCCTCTTCAATATCTTTGGAAAAAAAAGTAAATTAAGATATGCAAAAAAAATTTTATCTAAAATAATGGCAATTTTGTACCTTTGTGTTCAATACAATATTCTCCTACAATCCATAATGCTCCTCTAAAAACTTTTGGAGATTTTATATCCATGAATGTTTCAAGTAATTTTTCGGTTATGGATGATCGCAAATTAGGAAACTTCTCTACAACTTCTCTATATATTTGTATAATTTAAAAAAAAATTATCATCATTTCCCTCATATAATGTAATATATATATGTATATTAATACATACCTTACGAATGAAATAACATCAACTGCTGCAGGGTTATTTGAATCGCCCAAAAATTCCATAAGTACATGAACAACATTTTCAGCAACTTCTGAAAATTTAATTGCACATCCATGTATCGATTGAATTAATAATTGTCTGTATTCATTGTTCTAAATAATTATAATTAAAATGTAAGATTACTAAATTATTAAAAAATTTAAGAATAGATAATTAATTCAATGTTCTAATAATTTTTTCAACCTTCTCATAATCTTGATCAAGAGTCTTGCTCAATTCTTTTTTCAAAAAAACAACAACTTCTTGAACGTTTCGACTAGATATTAGATCTAATCCGATACGTAAAGCTTTTCTCCTTACTTCAATATCTGGACTGTTATCAAAAAATTACATGAATAAGCAATTGACAAGAGTAAATTAGCAACTAATTTGTGACAATACCTTGTCAATACTCTTAGGATATCTAATACCAAATCATCTAAAGTTTGTTCATGCTTTTCACGTAATTCATCCAAACGATCTAACACAATCAGTTTGATGTTATTATCAGACTCCTTAATAATCAGCTCAATATAACAAGATGCAGCAGCTTGAATAAATAAATGAAAAAATTATATATACATTAAAATAATTAATTACATGTATTTAGTTAGGGTATAAACTGTATTTATATTAAATTGTACCTTTTACAGCAGCTGGCGCATGAGTAAGAGCCATCAAAGAAGTAGCAGCTTCATATTTTACAGAATGGGATGGAGCATTTAATAAATCAAAGATACATCTTATATATTTTCCCTATTAAAATATAATGATATTAAAGACTTCATAAACATTAAGAAAATCTATGATGATGATAGAGAATTTAAAAACAAATATATCATCACCCTATTAGTACTACTGTTTCGACAATCCTTTCTAATTAATTCGATAACAGACAATTGCAATAGTTCATCAAAGTTAGGAACTTGATCAAAAACATCATTAAGATATTCAACAGCTCGCGCTTGATTGGTGTTACAAAGCATCACAAAAGCATTTCGTTTACAAGTTTGATCGCCTTCCTTTGAATGATGATGGTTATTATTGAGCGAAACAATTAAATAAAATATAAAGTATATATATGCAATTAATTATTTAGATTATAAATTTTTTGATTTCTTTTATTCTTACCACAACCAAAAAACTTTGAATTAATTCTGGAGCATCAGGGATAAGGTATTCAAAATGCTTATATATTGTATAAATAGCAAATACAGCATTTTTTCTGACATAAGAATGTCGATGTTCCTATAAATAGATACAAATCAGGTTTTACAAATAATAAAATGATTTATTTATGAAATTAATTATAATCATACCAAACAAGATCTACATGATGGAACTAAAGGCTCAAGTAATTCTGGCTCACGAAGTTTACATAAGAAACGAAGCGTTGCACCTCTTATATATTCGTTTGGGTGTTGTAAATCTTTTCTCAGCGCGTTGCTTTTTTTAAAAAAAGATATATATAATTGATATTAGGTTGATGATAAAATCGAGAATAAATAAATTGAAGAAATTCAAATACCAAACTAAAATCATCTCTTGTTTAAGTTTTCCATCAGAATTAGTTTTTGGACAAATTTCCCAATAAAAATGTAATAGTTTTTTTAAGGCTTTACTCTTTGACGGCAATACAAAACGAATTACATGCATTAAAAGTTGAGGTAGAGGATCGCCGTTTAACATTGTGACCAGGATCTTTTTCATTGTTTCAATCTTGGCTTCCTCTGAGCCTTTTTCAAGAGCAGTTTTAAGTTCCTGTAATGAAGGCTGCTCTGAACTGTCATCTTGGTGAATTACTGTATAACAGGTATCTGTTAACATTTAAATTAATTAATTAATTGTTTATTCTATATAAATTTTTTTGTTTCGATTATGATCACATAAAATTTTTTTGATGACGATTTTTTACTTAATCCTGTTCGTTGATTTGCTACATCTGAATTCAACTTTTTTTTTGGTCAAATAATATCGTGTAACGATGAGGTTGTAATTCATCTAGGTTTATTTTTGAAATTTATTTCTTCCTTTAGAAAGTTCATACTCATACCTTCTAACTGGATAATCTTTCAGAATAAGAATAATTGATGATTATTGTTAACAATATCTTGTAATAAAGATGAACAAGGGTTTAAGAAGAGGGAGGTTGAAAATATGGTACGGCTATATAACCATTGATAATTAGTAAAGAATTATTTTTAATTAATTTAAAATAACGTTGAATGATAAAAAATAATTAGGAATAAATATTATTGGTATCAAAAAACTCGCAGATAATGTTGGAAATCGGTCAAAAAGCATTAGGAAGATGATGGGTTTTATCAAAAATCAAGATCTTCGCAATGCATATATAAATTAAAACACGACTTATTTTTTTCAGATTATTACACTAAAAATGATTTGAACATTATTCTAGTGTGTAATAAACAATTTTAACAAGTGATCTTACAAAGGCTGCCATGAGATGCTTAATATTAACGTTTTTCAGTAGAATAACCGAGATGGTTTTATTAAAGCTATACATCTGTTTAGTAGATCGAGCTTAGGTGTCTTTAATATTATTGTCATACTTTCTTTGGCCTTGCAATTTTACTCTCGCATATTTAAAGATTGACAAGTGCTTCAAAAATAGAAAAACGTATTTAAGATTATATAATTTTGATTTGGAAAATGCATTAATGGAAGATAAAATCAATTGAAGAAAAAAGAAAATTGCAGATGGTATGCTGTGCTTGCATTTTTCATTTTCGATAATTATTTTATTTTATTTTGACTGATTCTTTCAAATTATTAGAAGCAAGGGATGCTTGAATTTGAGGAGACAGGTATTCGCCGTCTTTATGCCTACATTAAAAGCAATTTTTTGACTACACCAAGTCAGCCAATAAGTGCGGTAATGATGAAGAACCACTATCAGCAACACCAACAAAGCGGGTAAGCTTATGAGGAGCTCTTCAAATTGTTTCTGGTAGCAAATGACTAATTTATATGCTTTATGTGGTCATCTTCCAGATGAAGATGAATAATGAATAATGATACAACCTTAGAAAAACATGCCGGTCAAATTGATGACTTACAAGAAAAGGTTTCAGATACAAGTTTTAGATGACTATGTTACCCCCCTGTAAGTATAAATCATTACTTGCAAATACTATTTAACTACAAAAATATCATTATAATTTTTTTCATCTTGATTTTTTTTTTTGCTTTGTTTAATTTAGAGGAGAACAAATAACAACAACGTTGTTGACAGTATTAATCCTGATGATGTTGATAATATTGTTGGTGAAATATGTGCCCCAAATTAACATAATTTAAAATGAATATCCTCATTCAATGAAAATGTGAACTCGATCTCTATTTTATTTTCCCCACTTCAGACAAATATTGATGGAGAATTGAATTGGTGCTTGAAATATCATTAATTCAAGTCAATTTACCAATAATATCTCGTCTACAAGGATGAATCGGAAATTAAGGGAAAATGTTCAGATGGTAAATATTTTTAGAAAAATGGGATTTTGGGATTCAAAAACACTAATCAAAAACAATATACATTATTTTTTTTTGTATTTAATAAAGCAACATATCCTTATGCCTATAATATTTGGAATCTGGGATTATCACTTGGATGCAGTGTTCGTCAATCGTACAAGTTTTTTCATTTTATTATCTCTTTGTATTTTTATAATTTTATAGATTTCTACATATGATTGGATTAATTATTAATTATTGTATTATTATTATATTAATATTAATTATTATTATTATTATTATTATTACTATTACTATTATTATTA